CCCCAAAACCCCAAAACCCCAAAACCCCAAAACCCCAAAAATATTATTATAATTGAAAGGATGTCCAAAAAAGACCAATACTATTACGACACAAAATCAGACCTGGCCAGGCATGTCTGATGGAAGGAAAGACTCGGGAAGGAAGAAGGTAGCTACCTCAAGTCCATGGGGCACTGTTTGACGAAAGGCATGATCAAGAAGGTCCCTGTCATTACAGAGGAGTACGAGAGACTTCCAGAGGAGGCTAAGGAAGACCCTCTCAAGTTATTCCAGGCTATTAACGACCCTAATAACGCCAAAGGATCTTATTTTTACAAGATGAAAGCTTTCTTCGACGATGAGAAAAATAACGACAAGAATCTTAAGAAGAAAAATGTTGATGTAAAATTCGAGTCTAGGCAAATTAAAGATCTTGAAGCCCCATTTGCTAGTTACCCTATGCCTAATTTGAAATCGATGAAGATAGAGAAGCAAGTGAAGCCAAAGTTTGTTTCCTTGCCACCGATGAATGAGAACTATCGCCCACAGAGGAAGCAGTACTCTCCTCGTGAGGTTAAGCAATATATGACTAGTACTATTGACCTCTCCCAGCCGGATTTCACTTTTTGTAAAATTAAGAACATTGAAAAACATTCTGAGTATGTAAAGATGATGCAACTCTATGCTTCAGACAAGAAGTTCCAGGAGAAGTATGGAAAGCAAAGAAAGCCTCGTAAATTAGGTAAATCCTCAAGCCAGCCAGACCTGCAATTATCAAAGACAGACAAGAACGTATTTGTTCGAAACAGTATGTTGATCCTGCCTCATCTCAATGCTAAGAATGCAAGCATCCTGGCCGAAGGTGGCAAGAAGATGGTAAGGAACCAGACCCAGGGCATCAAAATTAATCTGTAATTCCACCGATAAGTTCTCTATGAGGAGTCGTAGCCATCTGGTTTTATTTCAGCATGGAATAAAATACTGGGGTTTTGGGGTTTTGGGGTTTTGGGGTTTTGGGGTTTTGGGGTTTTGGGG